CAGCTACTTGGGAGGCTGAGGCAAGAGAATGGCGTGAATCCGGGAAGCGGAGCTTGCAGTGAGCAAGTGAGACCGTGCCACTGCACTCCAGCCTGGGTGACAGAGTGAGACTCCGTCTCAAAAAAAAAAAAAAAAAAAAAGGTAAACACAAGAAAATATGCCACAGGGCTTCTTATGGTTTTTTGTTTCTTTGTTTGTTTGTTTTGAGACAAAGTCTCGCTCTGTCACCCAGGCTGGAGTGCAGTGGCATGATCTCGGCTCACTGCAGCTTCTGCCTCCTGGGTTCAAGCGAGTCTCCTGCCTCAGCCTCCCGAGTAGCTGTGACTATAGGCGCGTGCCACCATGGCTGGCTAATTTTTGTATTTTTAGTAGAAACGGGGTTTTGCCATGTTGTCCAGGATGGCCTCGATCTCCTGACCTTGTGATCCGCCCTCCTCGGCCTCCCAAAGTGCCGGGATTACAGGCGTGAGCCTCTGCGTCCGGCCTCTTACGATATTTCTTAATACAAAATAATAGTATAGTGCAAAGTTTAGTCGAACAATTCAGTAAGGGTCAGTTTGATGTGGTCCCTGTCCTAAGCTTTCTGAAGACCTGGCTTAACGCAGGGACGGATTTAGCCTATGTAGATAAGATTACAAAAACGCCAAGTCCCCATTAAAAAATTCCTCTCTCAGACTTTTGGTGGATACTCAGTATCAGTAAGTTCAAGATAATACTAAGAGACAAATAGAGTATAGATGGATATCTATTAATGACCTTAATAAGGAAATATGTCTGAGATTATTACTCAAATACTACATCTTGGCTACAGAATGAGTTTGTACTTTGTTTCAAGGCTAAGAGTTAATTTCCTTGGTTCTCTTTGTCAGCACTAAGTTGGGTGCAGTGGCTCATGCCCATAATTCCAGCTACTCAGGAGGTAGCATTGAGTTTGTAGAAAGTTAAGTGTTAAAAGTTGCTCTTGGCGAGGTGTGGTGGCTCACATTTGTAATTCCAGCACTTTGGGAGGCCAAGGTGGATGGATCACGAGGTCAGGAGATCGAGACCATCCTGGCTAATATGGTGAAACCCCATCTCTACTAAAAATACAAAAAAATTAGCTGGGCGTGGTGGCGGGCATCTGTAGTCCCTGCTATTCCGGAGGCTGAGGCAGGAGAATGGCGTGAACCCGGGAGGCAGAGCTCGCAGTGAGCCGACATCGCGCCACTGCACTCCAGCCCCAGCGACAGAGCGAAACTCCATCTCAAAAAAAAAAAAAAAAGGTTGCTCTTACATTTATTTTTCTTGAAGATTGATGATATTTAGAGCCCTTTGAGATTATGTTCTTGGTCTCCATTGTGTCATATTTTAAATTTTAATTTTCAGCCTATCTTCTGGCAGAGTAAGAATCTTGAACAGTCGCATTAGAACATGGATTGGGTTTTCTTTCCATTTATTTATTTTTTCTTTTTCCTAAAGTGTAATAAAGGGTATTGACCTGTTCCCCAGCCAGTTCCAAAGGCTATCAGTTTGCTTTAAAGTGTTTGTTGGCTGGGCACAGTGACTCACACTTGTAATCCCAGCACTTTGGGAGGTCGAGGTGGGTGGATCACCTGAGGTCAGAAGTTCAAGAACATCCTGGCCAACATGGTGAAACCCCATCTCTAATAAAAATACTAAAAGGTCGGGCGCGGTGGCTCACACCTGTAATCCCAGCACTTTGGGAGGCCGAGGTGGGCGGATCACGAGGTCAGGAGATTGAGACCATTTTGGCTAACACTGGGAAACCCCGTTTCTACTAAAAATACAAAAAAATCAGCTGGGCATGGTGGCGGGTGCCTGTAGTCCCAGCTACTTGGGAGGCTGAGGCAGGAGAATGGCCTGAATCCAGGAGGCAGAGCTTGCAGTGAGCCAAGATCCGGCCACTGCACTCCAGCCTGGGCAACAGAGCCAGACTCCATCTCAAAACAAAAAAAAATTAAATAAATAAATAAATACTAAAAATTAGCTGGGTGTGGTGGCGGGCACCCGTAATTTCAGCTACTTGGGAGGCTGAGGCAGAAAAATTGCTTGAACCTGGGAGAGGGAGGTTGCAGTGAGCCGAGATCTCACCATTGCCCTCCAGCCTGGGCAACAGGGCAAGACTGCGTCTCAAATAAATAAATAAATAAATAATAAAGTGTTTAAGAAATTCAGAAGTGGTCAGATCTTTGCATTTATAAGCACGTTCTGAGTACTGTTATGAGAGAGCATGCTAAAGTTCCAAGATATAGTCTGGTTGATAGTCTATTTGTCTGGATGAGAAAACTATGTGTAACCACCAGCAGAAGTTCACTTAGCAAGGTCCAAAGCTATGCAATACTTGCTAGAGGCTGGAGGCAGGATGAGAGTTGTGGGAGCAGGGTGAGTCCAAAGTTGTATGGTAAAAGAGGCCATCCTCCAAATATGAGGTCTTTAATCAGGTCTATGCATCCAAATTCAGGAATTTAGTGACTTCAGCTCACTGGAAATGATGGACTATAAATTGTTGCACCATGATGTCTAGCTGTTGGTGCGTTGCCTTTTATTTTACTATAATTAATTGATTCATTTTTAGAGTCAGGGCCTTGTTCTAGTGCCCAGGCTGGAGGGCAGTGGCACAATCACACCTCACACCAGCCTCGAACTCCTGGGCTCAAGCCACCCCCTGGTCCCCCACTGCCTCACACCCTCCTGAATAGCTGGGATTACAGGCACCCTCCTGAATAGATGGGATTACAGGTATGAGCCACTGCACCCAGCTTGGTGCACTGCCTTTTAAAGCTGCAGATATTAACATAAAAGAGCAGGTGAGCACAAACTCAACTGGAAGTATCACCAAGCTTCATTCAATTTCACTACAGGAAGAATGATCAGGATAGGTACATATGAATTGAAGTGTGTGTCCTTTTAGGGACAAAAAATAGAGAAAATGCAAATAAGCTAAATATGCTTTCATTGGTAATACTTGGCCCCACTCTTTTTTTTTTTTTTTTTTTTTTTTGGGACGGAGTCTCGCGCTGTGTCACCCAGGCTGGAGTGCAGTGGCGTGATCTCGGCTCACTGCAAGCTCCGCCTCCCAGGTTCACGCCATTCTCCTGCCTCAGCCTCCCGAGTAGCTGGGACTACAGGCGCCCGCCACCACGCCCGGCTAGTTTTTTGTATTTTTAGTAGAGACGGGGTTTCACCGTGTTAGCCAGGATGGTCTCGATCTCCTGACCTCGTGATCCACCCGCCTCGGCCTCCCAAAGTGCTGGGATTACAGGCTTGAGCCACCGCGCCCGGCACTTGGCCCCACTCTTACTAGCTAACCTTATCTCAGGCTCCAACATATGTAAGTTTCCTGGACACTAATTCCCAGCTCACTGAATTGTCGCCATTACTGGAATTCAACAGACCCTGTGGGTACTGGTCAGGCAGCAGTTTCTTCACTGCTAGTACCATGTTCAGTGTCACTATCAGAAACATGGAGAAAATATTAGGACCTACAAAATACAAGGTCCAAAGCAGCCACTGTGCTTAACAAATGTGATTGTTGTTTTTATTTTTGTGTTATTTAAATGTGTTTTATATATGTGTTGTATCTCTGTGATAGCTAGAACTGTGTGTCCAAAGTTTCTTGCAAACATCTTTTTTTGTTTTTGTTTTTGTTTTTGTTTTGAGATGGAGTCTTACTCTGTCGCCCAGGCTTGAGTACAGTGGTGAGATCTTGATTCGCCACAACCTCCACCTCCTGGGTTCAAGCGATTCTCGTACCTCAGCCTTCCTAGTAGCTGGGATTACAGGTGCATGCCACCACGCCTACCAAATTTTGTATTTTTAGTAGAGATGGGGTTTCACCATGTTGGCCAGGCTGGTCTCAAACTCCTGACCTCAGGTGATCTGCCTGCCTTGGCCTCCCAAAGTGTTGGGATTACAGACATGAGTCACCGCGCCCAGCCTGCAAACATCTTATAATACTAGCATGGTGCAGGTCTCAAAATGGTAATGACCACATTTGTTTCACAATATTGTTTATATAAATATATTATTAAATTGGCATTTAATCAGGGACTATATTTCCATTATCTAATAAAATAATATACTTTTCAAAGAGCTTTGACTCGGATAAAATTCTCTTTAGAATGTCATAGAAACCCAGGTGGCATGGGGTAAACAACAAAAGGCCAGTTTGTCTCAAATATTTACCAAATATCTACTGTGTGACAGAAACTAAAAAGGCAGTCAAAATTAACATTATAAGTAAAATACCGAACTAAGCTGAAGTACTGATAGAATTAATTATAAATTTACCTGTAACAGAATTAGTTAGAGATTAGACATAGACTATATTTTCTCCCAAGATTACTGAAACATGTACTTTTCCATCCAATTAGTTCAATGAGGTCACCAAACAAGATTTTAGACAAATTCTTCATGACTCCCTCTCCTGAACTCTGACCTATCCCCTTGAAAAGGATCAATCATGTTAAAGCCTTCTGTTAATTTTTTCCTTTTCAGAGCTTATATAAATAAAACGAATTCTTTGAAAGAGCCACTCTATTTTCAGGTAGAACATAAGTGATGAAAAAACAAGTTGGGCAACAACAGTTAACGTGGCATTATTGATCTTGGCAGTTAGCACGAGTATTTCTAAATGCTGTTTATTCTTCGCCTATCTCATATCTAAATTTTGAACTCGCTCTCTGCATTTTTAGATTGTCTAATGAACCAGCTCTTCTTTTTTATAATTGGCACTTATCCTGTCTTTCCTACACAAACTATACCCCTTAGGTAATCAAAGAGTATATGAGGGATATTTTTCTGTAAAGTAGTCTAGCTAATGAATGAAAAAGGAATGTAGAGCTAGAATACCACAGTTTTTCAGCCCCTAATGAATCACTGGATGTAGTATTGAGCATGCCTGAACATCATAGAAAGAGTGGATAATCAGATGTTTTGTGCTTCCTGATACAAAAGCACACCACACATGTATGAAGTATTTTTGCCAAAAAAATTCTTACCTGAATCTGATCAAACCTCTAGAGCCAGTTACCGATTTACAAACATGCAGAATGCACAGCACTTGTTAAGCTATGGAATTCCCATTGCAGGGATGCCATCAACAAAATCCAGACTATTGGAAATTCTACGGTGCAAACAAATTACGAGAAAAAGAGATGAACAGATGTAGATATTAAAGGAGACTTAAAAGACACATCAAGCAACTGCAATGTTAAAAAGAAAGACATAAACCTAGTTGGAGAGTTGTATACTTATTTTATTTTATTTTTGTTTTGAGATGGAGTCTTGCTCTGTCGCCCAGGTTGGAGTGCAGTCGTGCCATCTTGGCTCACTGCAACCTCTGCCTCCCGGGTTCAAGCAATTCTCCTGTCTCAGCCTCCTGAGTAGCTGGGATTACAGGTGCCTGCTACCACGCCCGTTTAATTTTTGTATTTATAGTAGAGACAGGATTTCCCCATGTTAGGCTGGTCTCGAACTCCTGACCTCAGGTGATCCACCCGACTCAGCCTCCCAAAGTGCTGGGATTACTGGCATGAGCCACCGCACCTGGCCTACACTTACTGTCTCTAAAGATATTAAGAAATCTGATTTTTAAGGTATTATAATGGTATTGTGATTGTGTTTTTTTAAAAAATCCTTGTCTTTAGAGATACATATGAAATTATTTACAGATAAATTATTATATCTGAGGTTTGCTTCAAAGTAATAGATGGAGGGAAAATAGGTAGGATATAGATAAAGCAAGATGGGTCATGAGTGTTTTAAGATAGATGATGGGCCAGGCGCGGTGGCTTAGGCCTGTAATCCCAGCACTTTGGGAGGCCGAGGCAGGCGGATCACGAGGTCAGGAGATCGAGACCATCCTGGCTAACACAGTGAAACCCCGTCTCTACCAAAAATACAAAAAATTAGCCGGGTGTGGTGGCGGGCGCCTTGTAGTCCCAGCTACTTGGGGGGCTAAGGCAGGAGAATGGCGTGAACCCGGGAGGCGGAACTTGCAGTGAGCCAAGATCGCGCCAATGCACTCCAGCCTGGGCGACTGAGCGAGACTCCATCTCAAAAAAAAAAAAAACAGAAGATAGATGATGAATGCATTGGGATTCATTATTCATTATTATTCTGTCTTCTTTTGTATATGTTTGAAATGTTCTATAATTAAGAAAAATAAATAAAATCACTGGAAGGCTCACACCTTTTCTGCTCTTTTAGACATTAATACTAATAGCTGAAGGAAGACCGGTGACATACTCTTGTATTTTCACTCCTTCAGCAAACAATGCAGAAGAATTTCCCTTTCACCGTAACTGCAAAATTAACCTACACATCACTGAAGGCTGTCTTTAAGCCACTATGACAACCTTAATGAGCATAACATTTTGCTTCAACCGTACTCTTCTACCAATGCTGTGAATCTCTCCTAGAGTCATGGTGGATTCATGTCATAGAAGTGACTGACCCTCAAAAAGTGAAAAAATGACCTGAAGAAAGTGAATTTCTCTGATAAGTCTATAAGGATTCTTAAAGATAGGATTATTCAAAATAGCATGGTGTCCTGGAAACAGTCCAACAGGCCTCAGGTTGAATCCTGGCTCTCCTACTTTCCAACTGCCTAACCATGTGACACTGTGTACATTACTGAATGTCTCTGAGCCTCAGGTCCCTCACCTCTACAACGGGGCTAGTCACAGGACTATTGTGAGGATTAAATGAGCTACTGTTGTAAGTTACCTAGCATAATTTTGGGCTTCTATTGGATACCCAATAGCTACCTGTAAATGTCACATCTGAGCTTACAGAATGATGAAGTTATAAGCTGAGGCTGCCTGCTATGACTCCTGCACTAATTATAGGATGCCTTTAGTCAAAGCTTGTTCAACCCATGACCCATGGGCTGCATGCAGCTCAGGATGGTTTTGAATGTAAACTTTTCTAAAACATTATGGGATTATTTTGTGATTTTTCTTTTTTTCCAGCTCATCAGCTATCATTAGTGTTAGTATATTTTATGTATGGCCCAAGACCAATGTGGTCCAGGGAAGTCAAAAGATTGGACACCCTGCTTTAGTCTCTGTTTCGCAGACACTGAAGAACTTGTTCAGGTTGTAACAAGGTACATAATTAAGACCTGCATTCTTGACTATCACTGAGACTCGTCATCTCTATTTCTTCTACAAGGTTAATGGACCGATTTACTGGAAAGATAACATGTTAACTACATTGAGACTGTTCTTATTTTGTATTCTCATTTAATACCAATTAGGACAAATATAATAATGCAATAGCTATGTTTAAATAAGACTCTATTTTCTAGCTATTTTTATTAGCCTGATGACTTCTTTTTTTTTTTTTTTTTTTTTTTGAGATGGAATTTTGCTCTTGTCGCCCAGACTGGAGTGCGATGGTGCGATCTCAGCTCACTGCAACCTCCACCTCCCAGATTCAAGCAATTCTCGTGCCTCAGCCTCCCGAGTAGCTGGGATTACAGGCGCCCACCACCACGCCCAGCTAATTTTTTTGTATGTTTAGTAGAGAAGGTTTCACCATGTTGGCCAGGCTGGTCTTAAAACCTGATCTCGGGTGATCCACCTGCCTCAGCCTCCCAAAGTGCTGGGATTACAGGCGTGAGCTACTGCGCCCGGCCACCTGATGACTTCTTAGTACATTTAAATTCCTTGCTTTAGGGTGAAGTTGACAAAATTTTTGAGTAGATTATTTGTTGGCATATAGGGTTTTCATATGGAAGGCTTTTGTTCTTGATGACAATAGAAAGGAAATGCAGGACCAATCAGTCTAAGGTGAAGCAAAGTCAAGGGAAGAGTCTGTTAAATTTTGTGTATCCATCTAAATTTTATCACCAACTACATTCGCAATAACATCGTCAATAATTTACAATAATGAAAATAATTTGTGGTAGCATGAACTTGTAATCCTGGCTCCTCAGGAGGCTGAGTCAGGAGGATCCCTTGAGCCCAGGAGCTTGGGACCCCGCCTGGGCAACATAAGGAGATCTCATCTTGGCCAAGTGTGGTGGCTCACGCCTGTAATCCCAGCACTTTGGGAGGCCAAGGCAGGGAGATCCCTTGAGGTTGGGAGTTTGAGACCAGCCTGGCCCATATGGTGAAACCCCATCTCTACTAAAATACAAAAATTAGCCAGGCATGGTAGCATGTGCCTGTAATCCTAGCTATTTGGGAGGCTGAGGCAGGAGAATCACTTGAACCTGGGAGGCAGAGGTTGCAGTGAGCTGAGATTCCACCACTGCACTCCAGCCTGGGCAACACAGCAAGACTCCAGCTCAAAAAAAAAAAAAAAAAAAAAAAAAAAAAGGAGATCTCATCTCTTAAGAAAAACCAAATTTACAATAATGTTGTAAAAATCATTCGTTACAGATCAGCCCAACTACAGGCCAAAAAATCATAGCCTTCAAAACGATTAATTGTGGGTTGCTCGTCTACTCTCTTATTTACATTACTCTCATTCTAGCAGAAGAGGATGTGTGGCTTCACACTGCCACCCCCCTACACGCACACTCACACAATCACACTTACAATGGGGAACGGAAAGGGGGAGTCCCTGCAGTGTGCCCTCCTTGAGACCTAAGTGGTCAGATTTTTATCAGCATTTTCTCTCCTTCCTCAGTTGAATTCTAGGCTTCAAGTTTGCTGTAGAGTAGGTTTGCAACAAAAATAGACTGGAGAACTACTGTGTGGGGTTAATCTTGGAGGGGTACACCTGGGAAAGGAACAGCCACTCTGTGGTATGGATTGGGATGGCTATGGAAGGCCATGCTGAGGGACTGCCTTCCTTGTGAAGTACACTATCCCACTTTATGCCTGTGCTAGTTGCCATGAATACATTTTAAAAAAATTTAAAAAGAAATTAACAAAGACAATTTAAGTAAAATAGCTTCTACGAAAGACAAAACGGTAAAGTGCAAGAATGCGTAAATAAGATCAGTTAAGTGAGCATCACAAAAAGATGAATGATAAAGTCAAATGGCTACAAAGGTACAAAGTAATGGCCCCCATTAGATTTTTTAATCTAGGATAAATGCAGCTGACTAGTAAACATCACATGAAAATGTTCTGCCAGGACCTGGATTCCTTAGGTCTGAGGTCCTCAAAGGCATAGCAACAGAGCAGGGACCAGTGGCCACGGTGTCAACAAACACATGGATCTCTATCTATAGGATTTGGTCAGGAGGATGATGGACCTGCATCCTCACCACAATCCCTGATGATTCACACTTTCCAGACACACTGGCTACCTTCCTGTTCCTCAAAGAAGCCTGATTTTTCTGTCTCAAAGTGTTTCCATTTGTTATCTTCTCCAGGAAGGATTTCCCGTACATCTTCTCATGGCTTCATGGCTGGCTTGTTTTCATCACTGGTATCTCAATTTAGATATTATGTGCTTAGGGGTCTTTCCTGACCATCCTGTTTACAGTGTTCTTCCCAAGGAAAGGACACCTACTTCAATAAATGGTGCAGGAGAAACTGGATAACCATATGCCGGAGAATGAAACTGGACTCCTACCTCTCACCATGTACAAAAATTAACTCAAGATGGATTAAAGACCTAAGTGTAAGACCTGAAACTACAAAAATCCTACAAGAAAACCTGGGAAAAAACCTCTTTTAAAAGACACTGGCCTAGGCAAACAATTTATGACCAAGTCTTCAAAAGCAAACACAGCAAAAACAAAAAATAGACAAATGGGACTAAATTAAAGTAAGAGGCTTCTGCACAGCAAAAGAAATAACCAACAGATTAAACAGACAACCTACAGAATAGGAAAAAATATTTGCAAACTATGCATCTGACGAAGGGCAAATATATAGAATCTATAAGGAACTCAAATAGCTCAAAAAACACACAAATAATCCCATTTTAAAATGGACAGAAAATATGAACAGACTTTATTCTTTTTTTTGAGATAGAGTCTCACACTGTCACCCGGGCTGGAGTGCAATGGTGTGATCTTGGCTCACTGCAACCTCTGCCTCCCAGTTTCATGCGATTTTCTTGCCTCAGCCTCCCAAGTAGCTGGGATTACAGGCGCACACCACCACACCCGGCTAATTTTTTGTATTTTCAGTAGAGACAGGGTTTCACCATGTTGGCCAGACTGGTCTCGAACTCCTGACCTTGTGATCCACCTGCCTCGGCCTCCCAAAGTACTGGGATCACAGGCATGAGCCACCGCGCCCGGCCAACATTTTTCAAAGGAAGACATATGAGTGGCCACCAAACATGAAAAAATGCCCAACATCAATAATCATCACAGAAATGCATTTTAAAACCACAATGAGATATCATCTTACACCAGTCAGAATGGCCATTACTAAAAAGTCAAAAAACAACAGATTGGCAAAGATGTAGAGAAAAGGAAATGCTTATACATTGTTGGTGGGAATGTAAATTAGTATAGCCTTCATGGAAAACAGTATGGAGATTTCTCAAAGGACTAAAAATAGAACTACTATTTGATCCCTCGATCCCACTACTGGGTATATACCCAAAGGGAAAGAAATAATTATATCAAAAAGATACCTGCACTTGTATGTTCATCACAGCACTATTCACAATAGCAAAGATATGGGATTCAACCTAAGTGTCCATCAATGGAGGACTAGATTAAGAAAATGTATACACATACACACACATACATACACACACCCTGGAATACCAGTCAGTCATAGAGAACGAAACCATGTGATTTGCAGCAATGCGGATGGCACTGGAGACTTTAACAGGTCAGAGGGTGGGAGAGTAGGAGGGTAGAAGGGGTAGGAGGGTTGAAAAATTACCTATTGGGTAGTATACTCACTAGTTAGTGATGGGTACACTAAAAGCCCAGACTTCACCAATATGCAAATATGCATATAAGAAATCACACACCGAAATTTGTTGGGGTTGGGGGGTGATGGGAGGGAGAACATTAGAACAAATACCTAATGCATGCAGGGCTTAAAACCTAGACGACGGGTTGAAGGGGCAGCAAATCACCATGGCACACGTATGCCTATTAACAAACCTGCACATTCTGCACATGTATCCCAGAACTTAAAGTAAAATAAAAATAATAATAATTAAAAAAGAAATCTGCACTTGTATGCATTAAATACATAAAAATTAAAATACATAAAACATTTAAAAAGCAAAAACTTAGAAAAATAAAGTGCTACCCTCAAGTCACTCTATCATCATACTGTTTCTTCATGATACTTCTCTATCTAGACTTTTTTATTGTCTTCTTCCTCTCGTTGAAATACAAGCTTCATAAAACATGGGAAGTTATCTATATTGTTGCAGGTCATATTAATATCATCCAAGTCCTACAGAAATTGGCACTTTTTTTTTTTTGTAAAGGGTCAAATAGTAGATATCTGGGGACTTGCAGACCATACAGTTGTGTCACAACTCTGCTGTCCTAACATGAGAGCACCCACAGACAATACGTAAACGTATGGGCATGGCGGTATTCTAATACAAACTTTATTTACAAAAGCAGGCAACTGACTGGATTTGTCCTGCAGCTGTAGTTTGCCAACCTCTGCTCTAGAACGTTATACTAGAATATAGTACTCAGCATAATATTTTCAAATGAATTAACATAAACTTTATTTTAAATCTGGATTGATACAAGGTTATGATTGTCTCCTTGTTACTACATCCAATCAAATGACCAATATACACATATATTTCTTTGGCATAAATCCTTAGTCCTAACATATCGAGTGAAAGCTGCACTAAATTTGATGGAGGGAACTCAGTTTCGTCAATGTGCCTTCACTTGGGCTTACTCTTTACTCTTTATCTTATTATTTTTCATTTCTAAACTCATATAGGTGCAGAGCTTTCTTTACACAAAGCAGAGCACATGGCCAAGGAAAGGACATGATTTCCGTAGTCTGTTTCTACTACTACCCTAAAAGTGCAAATACTTTGAAGAAACGTAGTAGATTGATTTAAAGTCAAAATACATTGTGAGTGAGTATTTTTCTCAAGATAAAACACAAAGATGCTAGGTATATCAAAAGAAGGGATGCTTCAGAAGAGAACCACACTAAAAGGAGATTAAACTCCCCCCAAAACAAAGCTTGCCTACTTCATAATTTTGATGAGGGCTGGCAGGCTAGCATTGGAGAGGCAGTAGAGACAATGAGAATACTCACCCAGGATTCAGGAGATCCAGGCTTTAGCACTGTCTATTAATTGCTCTTCTCTAACTCCTCTGAGACATCCTTTCTTCACGTGTAAAATCTAAGATATGTGACAGAGGGAGAGAAAGAGTATCAGTCAGATCTCTATTTTTAGGTTTAAGATTCTTAGATTATGCTAATCATCACTTTATATAGTACCACATCCATGTAAGTACCTAACACACAATTAGTCTACGTTATTGTACACTTGCTCAATATGGGCTTGCCATACAGCTAAGAAACAGATTCCACCTTTTGTATAATCCATACAAGAGAACAATGAAAGTAAATATTATAAAATCATATAAGTGATGGCATGTTAAATTTTTCATTGATAAATAAATGGGAATTTATGTTATACCCAGTTAAGACCCTTTCCCAGTTATATCTGGTTAAGGTACGTTTCCAGTCCTGTGTTTATACGGGTAGAATCACTTCCTTTTTAAAAAATTAATTAAATTATTTATTTTTGAGACGGAGTCTTGCCCTGTCGCCCAGGCTGGAGTGCAATGGAACTATTTTGGCTCACTGCAACCTCCCCTCCTGGGTTCAAACAATTCTCTTGCCTCAGCCTCCCGAGTAGCTGGGATCACAGGTGCCCGCCACCACGCCCAGCTAATTTTTGTATTTTTAGTAGAGATGGGGTTTCACCATGTTGGCCAGGCTGGTCTCAAACTCCTGACCTTGTGATCCACCTGCCTCGGCCTCCCAAAGTGCTGGGATTACAGGTGTGAGCCACCACGCCTGGCCACCACTTCCTTTTTCTATTTAATAAAATATTGGTGGGGAAAAAGACCCTCTGGCATTTGCTGTCTCATTTGTTCCTTTGTTGTAGTGATAGGGAAAGCCATAAAATAATATTTTAAGAAACAGATAAGATATAGATGACTTTTTAGATCTCTTTCTGGCCTTATGGGTTGACGTGTTTTTAGAGAATAAAGGTAAAATAATGATTATCAGGCTAAATGGTAATGTGGAAGTATAGGGATAATTCAAAGTTTAAGAATTCCTTCCCCATGTTTACCTGGTGTGCTTTGCAAGGTTTAGATGACATCAATGATACAATTTTTGCAAGCAACAGCAGCAGGGTTCTTGGATGTCCGTTGTCACTTAAAAAAATTTTTCCCCTTCTTGTTGTTAGAAAACTAGACTAAAGCTTTCCCTGAATGGATAATGGAATTAGTTTCTCAAAATATCATCCATGGACTGCCTGGCTGCACTAGTATCATTTGTGGTGCTTGTTCAAAATTCATATTCCTTGGAAATGGAGGTTTCACCACTTCAAGACCCATATAGACTCCATTATACTTTATGCAGGGTCAGAGATGCCTCTAGAATGAAGTAGATACTCCCGCAATGTGAAACTGATAGCAAATATTAAACCCAAAGCAAAACAAAACAAAAAAAATTCATATTCTTGGTCTGCACCTGAGGTCTTGATGGATCTCAGCCATCCCTGTATTGTATTAAACCCTCTGGTGCTACTTATACACAATAATGTCTAAAAATCACTATCTATCTAGATTAAGAATTCACATTCTACTGCATCAGATTAGTGATACAGTGAAATTTAGGTCCAGAGTTTTTAATCATTCAATATCCACAAGACGTGGAAGCTACTTTTATAGCTTTTAAACATAACATGTGTAAAATAGAAGAAAGAACACGTAAAACAGAAAGAAGAAAATCATTCCAAGGAAAAACAATATTTGGAGACTATTTGTGTGAATTTCCTTCAAGTCTCTCAATATCCATAATATAGATCATCACAGGTTCTAAAACCTCCTAACAGCAGGGACTGTGTTTTTCTTCATCACTGTAAACCTAGCTGTTACCAAAATGCCTAGCACATAGTAGGCACTGAAATCTTTGCTGAGTGAACAAAGTAAGTGAAGCTGAAATCAAATCGTATCTTTGATTTGGGCCACACTTTTTATAAAAATTTGCCAGCATTCAATAGAATGTCACTTTCTGATTTTCAAATGCATCAAATTGATAACAAATCAATAACTAGTACTTTTTGTACCAGATATTTTTCTAGAGTTTTACCCATATTAATTTAACCCTAACAGCTACATATAATGTTAAGTGCTATTTTATCCCAAATTTGTAGATCAGGAAACTGGAGCACAGAGAGTTTAGGTAACCAACCCAATGCCACACACCCAGTATGTGGTAGAGCTGACTCCTGAGATTTTTATCAGACTAGGTTAACCTGTTTATGGTCATAAAATCATCCGCCTTTTATAAACAAGTATGTGCCTAATTTTACCACTTCAGCTACGGAAATTCTATATTAGGAAGAAAAACTCTCTATTAGGAAACTACATATTAGGTGATTGTAGGACGGTTAAGATTTAGCCCTGGTACTCACTCTGCTACTGCACAAAACTCTGCAAGGGCGCCCGTCCCAGGTGTGGGATGCTAAGTGTATGGTACAGGTACCTCCGTGCACAGCCACACGGGCTGTTCTCAACCCCAATAAACATGTATACCACATGAGCCTCACAAGTTCTTTTTTTTTTTTTTTTTCGAGACAGGGTGCCATTCTGTCGCCCAGGCTGGAATGCAGTGGCACGATCTCGGCTCACTGCAGCCTCGACCTCGTGGGCTCAAGCGATCCTCCACCTCAGCCTCCCGAGTGGCTAGGATCACAGGCGTGGGCCACCACACCCAGTTAATTTTTGTATTTTTTATTTAAGAGGTGAGGTGTCGCCATGTTTCCCAGGCTGGTCCCGAACTCCCGACCTCATGTGATACGCCTGCCTCAGCCTCCCAAAATGCTGCGATTACAGGAGGGAGCCACCACGCCCGCGAACTTCCCATGCTTAAGGGTGAAATGGAGGAAAGTTCATGTAATACTCAGGCAAGTCCAATTTTTCCGACGTCTTTCCCTCGGGCCACACACAAAAATAAAGTAACTAGAAGCGCAGGCTCTAGGAGGCCACCGTTCTGTTCACAGTGAAGAGGGTGCGCTCACCATCGGCGGTGTCTGCTGGAAGCCCCGCGTCAGGCCGGGAGGGGGACAGAGCCTCCTGCTCAGGGCCGTTATCCGAACTGATCCGCTTCCCACCGCACCCCCAGAGAAACCCACCCCACCCCCTAAACCTAAGGAACCCTGACTCCGCAAACCTGCACGAACAGAGCTATTTCCCCCTAATGTGTGCTTCAAACCCACCGAAGCCCAACTGGAAGCAGGACCAGCGTGCCCGCCCTACACGCTACTGCTTCTCCCCGCGGCAGCGGCCGCCGATCTGACCAGCGGGTGGGTACTCGTGGGGCTCCGCGAACGTTGAGCCGCCGCGTGAAACCGGCGCCGGCTGGGCCTGCAAATCGCCGCCCGGCCGGCAGGGGACGCCGCCAACGCGAGGGCGAGATCGGTCTCCCAGGACGGGGCGCGCGAGGCCGCACGGGAGGGGGGCGCCGCCTCCCTTGCCCTGCGCCCCTCCCCCGCGCGCCCTCGTGGCGCGGCGGCAGGCGAGGCCCCTGTGGGAGAGGGGGCGGGGACGAAACGGCCCCGAGGCTCGGAGCGCCGCGCGGCGGCGGCGCGAGCCCGAGGGGGCGGGGAGGCGCGGGCGGGCGTGCGCGCGCCGGGCGTGGGTGTGGGTGGGGGTAACCGGCGCGGGCGCCGAGATAGCGCCGGGCAGAGGGACCCGGCTACCCTGGACAGCGCATCGCCGCCCGCCCGGGTCGCCGCGCCGCAGCCGCTGCGGATCATGGTGAGTGGGGCCGCGCGCCGCTACCGCCGCCGCCGCCGCTCTTTCTTTCTCTCCTTGACCCACGCACCGGGCGGGAAAGGGCCAAGCGGGCGGCGGCGCGGGCGCTGCGGGTTCGCCGCTGGAACCCGCTGCCCTCGGAGGGGCCGGGTCCGCGCGGGCCTGGGGAGCGGGCGCTGAGCGTTTGGGCCGGGGGCGCGCGAGTCGGCCCGAGGCCCGCGGGTCTCGGGAACTTTGCCTCGGTCCCGGCTCCCCGGTCCCGCCCCGGCACCTCGAGGCGCCCGCTCGCGCCCAGCCCCCTGTTGCATGCACGGGGCCGGGTGCCCGGGATGTCCGAAGAAGCCGCTACTCCTTCGCGGCGGCCATTCCCGCGCGCAGCCCACCCTCCGGCCCCCTGAACCTGCTCTCGCCGCCGCCCGCCGGCGCCTGGAGCGGAGAGCGGCGTTTCCCGCGCGCGGCACCCACCCTGCCTCGGGAGTTCTGGGGTTTGGGCCCTAACGGTCAAGCTCCTGCCCCTCTCCTCCCTGCACCGCGCCTGCACCCCGGGGGTGTGTCTGCGCGCTCGTGGGTTCCTCCTGCGTTTGCAGATTGGCTTGGGAGGGGGCTGGGTTTCTATCAGTGTGTGGGCTTGGAGGGGCTTCTGGTGTGTTGTTTCCGACAACTCCTCTCTCTGCCCGGTTTCCCAGGCCAGTCCTCCACTCTGGATTAGTAACGCTTCTTTCTCCTCGGCAGTAAGCTCTGTGTGTGTGTGTGTGTGTGTGTTCACCCGTGTCCGATGGACGTTTTAGCAGCAGAGCCTGGTTCTTTGGTTACAAAGGGAGAACATCTGTTGTGCCATCCTCAAAAGACTGGTGTTTAGGCAAAATGTGAAATCCGCGTTTGTCTTCAGTGGTCCCTATTCACTCTTTGCCTCTCCCCCTTCCCGTAGGGTTTTCTCTCCACTTCGGGGCTTGTTAAAATAAGCTCACTTCCTTTCTCTTCCCCACTCCATCTGATTTTGCTCTGGCTACCCTTTTAGGCACATACCATCTGCCTGATTATGTGTGACCACTTAATCTTAAAATTCCAACCTTTCCTACCCCGCCCACCACTGTGTATATTCCCCTCGCCTGCTTCATTTGTCGTCTCTTGAGCATGTATTAGTTAGCGTACTGCATATTTTGTTTCTTCAGCTTGTTTCTTGAACGTGGCCTCTACCAGAATATAAGTTTCAGGAAGACAGAGATTTTTGTCATTTTGTTCACTGTTATATTTTCAGTACCTACAGCAGTGCCAGGCGCACAGTAGGTACTTGGTAACTCTTTTGAATTAACCCAATAAAGCAGCTGCTTTATGCTAATGCACAAGTGGGGAGCAACTGCAAAGATTATACAGTTGACATTTGTAATGATGACAGTCTCAAGTGAAGTTTGGGAGGAGGGAGATACTCCCCGACAGGAGAGACCCGATTTTGGCAGCCTTCAACGACGAGTCTAGGTGGCTGTCTCTTGTGCCTGGTCTGTCACTTCATGCTCTTCGCTCCTTGGCATCAGAGTGGACAAAGAATTTTTAGGGACAACTGGCTCTTTCCTTTGGGCTCTGAAGCTTTGTCCTAAAGTGTAGGTAGGAATTGTAGTGAGTAAGGGAACAAGTCCAAGGAAATCTCTTTAGCTGAATAGAAAAGTCATGGGAACGTTAACCCAAAAGAGCTAAAATCAAGGGCAAGCTCTTGAAAGCTTTATCCTGCCCAAGTGTGATGCTTCCTGTTTAGGTAAGTATTTCTCAGAAACTTTGGGTCTTCAGAGGAATTTTTTTTTTAATACCCAAATCCAAATTGTATTACTTTTTTTTCTTTCTTGTTTTGTGGCAGGGTCTCACTCTGTCGCCCAGGCTGGTGTGCAGTGGTGCAATCTCGGCTCACTGCAACCACCACCTCCTGGGCTCAAGTGATTCTTGTGCCTCAGCCTCCTGAGTAGCTGGGATTACAGGCGCAGGTCACCACACCAGACCAATCTGTGTATTTTTGGTAGAGACAGAGTTTCACCATGTTGTCCAGGCTGGTCTTGAACTCCTGACCTCAAGTGATCAACACCCACCTCGGTTTCCCAAAGTGCTGGAATTACAAGGCGTGAGCCACTGTGCCGGGCGGAAATCATATTACTTAAAAAAAAAAAAAAAAATGGGCAGGGAGTAGTAAAGTTAGGGGGTTGAATTGATAAGGAAATTAGTGGGTCACTTCAGAAAGTCACCCTTTTGAATACATGTCCAATGTGAACTGTCTTGTGAGATATCTCTGCCAGTTAGTCTTATTATTCCAAAATAAATATTTTTCTTTCAAATTTCCTTTTGTTTTTCTATTTCTATAATGTGGATTTATGGCAGTGGTTTTTAAAAAATTAGTCTGGAGATATTAATTGGAAATAAATTGTTTAATAACATTTACATGAGTAAGTTTTTGAAAATTATGTAATTATAGCTATGACTATACAAGTTCAGCACTTCTGTGGTTACCATCTTTCCCAGGTAGGTAGTAGAAATTAAAGGTACAAAGGAAAGAAAGATAAGTTTGTCTTTGAAATTAAAACCAATGAACCAACCAAAGATAAATGAAAGATACCTTGTTGACTTCAGTTTATATTTGTAGGAGAGTTTACTGTTAGGATTCCTAGGATTCCAAAGTATCCAGCTTTTTTCTCTTTTTTTTTTTTTTTTTTTTTTCTTTTTTTGAGACAGAGTCTCGCTCTGTCGCCCAGGCTGGAGTGCAGTGGCCGGATCTCAGCTCACTGCAAGCTCTGCCTCCTGGGTTCACGCCATTCTCCCGCCTCAGCCTCCCGTGTAACTGGGACTATAGGCGCCCGCCACCTCTCCCGGCTAGTTTTTTGTATTTTTTAGTAGAGACGGGGTTTCACCATGTTAGCCAGGATGGTCTCGATCTCCTGACCTCGTGATCCACCCGTCTCGGCCTCCCAAAGTGCTGGGATCAAACGTATAGCATTTTCAAGGAGTACAAAATCCACTTTTAAAGTATCCAGTTGGGTAAGCCTAATTTTTGGTTCTTCAACAAGGGTTCCATTTAATCTAGCTTCCTTCAAAACGTTTTAGTCAGTTTGGGAGATTCAGGTGCCTTCGTGGTCTGAAAGAGAATGTTGAAAATGTGTCAAGTAGATATTATGTATCTAGTTATGTTCAGAAAACAGGGCCCTGCTATTCAGGGTTAGGTGGATGATCATCTCAGTTGGACAGTTGGATATGTACCATCTAACTTGACCGGTTTGCATTTCTGGGAGTAGACACTGATAAACGGAAAGAAGTTGCACCAGAAACTTCTTTAATGGCCCAGTGTGGTGAAAATATGCCAGCATCAGTAGCTCGTCATAATTCTAAAGTTACAGATTTGTAGCTTTTCTTCTTAATTGAATTGGGACATAACTGACTTTGACAATGAACCATTCTAATAAATAGTTAATTTAAATATGACATTTAAAATCTAACCATTTAATAATTGGACAGCATAACTTGTTCTGAAATTTATGTGACAGTTTAGATCTGGCGTCATTAATGGACTTGAATCCTGACACCTGCATTTAACTATATGACCTTGGGCCTCAGTATTTTATCCTGTAAAAGATGATAATATTTAATAAGGTTTTTGGGAGGAACAAATAAGATGGTTTATGTGTCTAGCATAGTGCTTAGGGTGCTTAGTAAATATTAACTATTATAATGATGTGTGTTCTTTTTTCTCCCATATCTGTGTTTAATTGAGACACTTCAGAATGATATCTTTGTCCCTTTTGTGATGTTAATATGTAACTAATATTGCTGTCCAATAGAAATAGAACATAAACTGCATATGTAATTTTCAATTTTCTACTAATCACATTTAAAAAGTACAGAGACAAGTGAAATTAGTTTTAATCATGTTATTTAACCCAATCCATGCAAATATTTCAACATGTAATCAATGCAGAACAATATTTTTACTTTTTTTTTTTTCATAGAAAATTTTCAAAATCTAATGTGTATTTTATGCTTAGAGCACATCTCAGTTCAGGCTAGCCATATTTCAGTTGCTCAGTGTTCACCTGTGGTTAGAGGCTACCGTATTGGACAAACAGCTCTAGATTGTACACAACTTCCAAGTTTACCTCTTAAAGCTCTTAACACTCTTTCCACTAGTGAGAACCTCACTGCCACCTTAAACCCAGCATTACAAAAAGAAAGCTACTCGTCTTTCAGACTCTCTTCTCTGTTCCCTTTTGCTGTTAGTAATTCCACCAGCTCTTCAGTCTACTGTGTCTGAAATCTGATTCTTATTCTCTTTTTTCTTTTATATTGTTTGTTGTCTAATATTCTCATATTTTTACTTGAAAATATTTCAAAATCTCTTTCCTCCACCCCTTGAGCCCCCTTTCCACCATTTTTGCCTTTTCTACAGATTTCTTCTTTTGTAGACTCTTTGTTTTAACTTTCTTACTTCCTGTCTCTTGGAAAATGCATATCTCTCGCTGAATCACTGGGCTCCACATTCTCTCCATTCTTTCCTCAGCCCTTTTTCATGTTGTCAGAAATGGTTTCTATTTTATAGGTTATTCCTACCCTTAATACTTTTCCTTTGTCAAATATCCAGAGAAGTATAATTACTTTCACGATAGTCTGATAGTAAAATGATCCATTCAAGAAAAGAAGCACATATAAAGGAGAAAAATAAGCTATGAGAAGGGAAGATGAAATCATTCTTTGAGTTTTATTTTCCTTTCAGGAAATATCAGA